GCCCGACCTGGAGTACGGGCTGGTGGCCGAGGTCGAGAAGAAGGACGAGGGGCCCTATCGCATGGAGCACTTCCGCTGGGGCAGCCCGCCCAAGGACAAGCGCTACGGCGGCTTCATGACCTCCGAGAAGAGCCAGACGCCCCTGCTGACGCTCTTCAAAAACGCCATCGTCAAGAACGCCCACAAGAAGGGCCAGTGAGGGCGCCGCGGGCCACCGGGGCTTCCCTCCCCGGGAAGGCCACCCCGAAGCCCCCTCCTCGCCTGCCCTGTGGCCGCCCGGGCGGTGATAGAGGCGGATGTTCAGCCTCTTAAAGCTGTCGGTGATTCGGAAATAAAACCTTGCAAATCTCACATCCGACTCGGGCTTTGAATGTAGACTGTGTGAATAAAATAAAAATATGTCAAATAAGAGTAACATGTTGCAGGGGGAGCGCAACCGTTTCCATGTGACCAAGCGGTGGTGTATTTCATAGAAAGTAAATGGTGAGAATGGGAAGAAAATGTACTTCCTCCCCCCTCCATGGGTGTTCGGAAGTCCTAACAGTTTGGGGGATGGCTCAGGGTAGCTCTCTGTCCAACACCCTTAGGATGGCTCCATTTGCCACCTCCTCCGTGGGGTAGGAAAGACTGCTCAGCTAGCAGAGTGTGGAAGGTCCGATATCCTACAAGAGTGACTACAAGGGCTTAGGGTCTCCCCTGGCTCCTGTCTGTAGGGATGAAAATAAGCCAGTCGGACATCCGTGTGGCCCACCCACACCGGGAGGGCTCTCTGGGTGGGAAGCTGTGGTAATGCTTTCCTGGATCTGAATCCTGACTGTGCACTTAGCTATCGTGTGACTTTAGGCAAGTTCCTGAACTTCTCCAAGATTTAGTTGTCTTATCTACCGCTTCTTTCTTAGTTTGAGAACTGTTGTGAGGATTAAAGGAGAAAATGGATGTGATCATTTTTTTAATCACTGAAAAGCTAAGTGTGAGAGCCGAGAGTTGCTATCAGTTCCAATTTGACTGCACTCCCGGGCTACTCACAGATATTCTCGAACACAGTCTCATTTCCTCTGCACTCCCATCCATGGAGACACACACGTTTAAATAACACATCATACACAGATGCATCTTCCAGTCCCTCAGCCACAGGCGTTGGGGTGCTCTGACTCTTTCCCCAGCTGTGCCCAAGCTCCTCCCTCCCTGTGGGGCCAGCTTCGGGCCTTCACTTCATTCTCAGTGCTCCCTGCTCAGACCTCAACTATCATAACAACTTCCTAACCAACTGACCTCCTTGTCTCATCACTCTTCTCCCCAATCCACTGTACACACCTTTTCATATTAATATATACAAAATCTTGCTTTCCCCATACTCCCTGGCTCAAGAGCCAAAACAGTACCCCACCCCAATTTTTCATCAATTCCTAACTACTGGGCATGGCATGCAGGGCCCTTGCCAACCAGGCTCACTCGCTGTCCCTCACACTGATTGGTCCTCCCACTGTTCTTCCCCTATCCTCCTTCACCCTCTGCCTGAGTTCCTGACCTTCACCTGCTGTTTTGAATTCTACCCATTTCTCAACATGAGCCACGGCCCAAGCCCACCTCTGCCAGGCAAGTTGTGATCTCCTCCAGCGCCCTGCTCGATTTTTGTTTCTGCAGTCAGCCGTGTGCTCTGGAGGGCACTCTGCCTGGCTCAGATGGCAAGTTGCTGCATGCATGTCTTGTCCTCTCCTCTCAGGAAACTCTGAGCACCGCAAGGGCAGCAGCCAGGTGTTGTGTTTCTTTCACTATATCTCCCCATGGCATTTTCACAATGCTGGGGCCACAGGTTTGTGGCCACACGCACAATTCACAAGAGACATAGATACATAGAGACGCACACACCCACGTCGACTGCATTAGACATACCAGTGGAAGATACAGACCAAAGCTGGCTGGGAAACATTTGTGTAAGGCACTTTCACATCCACCCCCATATTATTTTGATGTTCTGGCAGTTCCGATGAAGGAAAAAAAAAAAAAAATGGGAATGCACCCTGGGAAGTCCTGATGTGAGGGGAATCAGAAAGCCAGATTCTTTAGGTAAGGTCTCCCCTGATATGTGTTCTATGAAATGGGCCAGAATGAAGAACAGCCCAGGCCTTCCTAACTGGTGATGCTCCCACACTGGGAATCCTGGGCCTCCAGTTTCCATTGTGGTAGCATCCTTCCCCACCCCCCTCCGTTTCTGGGGCGGGTGGAGTAATGGTCCAGCGGGGTGGGGGTGGTTAAATGTCAGCGGTACACCTGTTGGTATTTTCAGATCCTGTTTGCATCTCAAAAAGCTATTTACTTTAAAGAAATCAAATAGGCGTGTGGTGACAACATTAACATTTATTTGAAAAGGGCATCATGAAGTTTCATTGGGAAATCACGACTAATGGTTCTAAAGAATGACTTTGCTAAGAGTCTTTCTACACTTCCCCCCACTCCCCTTTCTCCCCTTCCCTACAATAAAACTAATTCGATTCAATGAGTTTAAAATACAGAAAACTGCCACAGGCACTGACTCTGAACTCACATATAAATACATCAGTTATTATATACATATGTCATCTACTACGACTACATTACACACACATGCACGCACACGGGCACACACACACTTCAGCCAGGTCCTGACGGTCTAAATGGACACAGATGCGTTACAACGTATGGGCTGCAGCATTTGTGGAATTACAACTCTGCACTCCATATGCCAGAACCTATGGTCATGGAGGAAGAGCTCAAGGTGGAATGTGATGGGCTCCTGAGGGCCCTGGTCCTCTGAAGGATGGAAGACCTTGTCAGCCAGGCCGGTGCTAAAGGAGAGCATGGAAAACTGCCTTCTGGCCCCAGTGGACCCCAGAGCCCTTCCCAATGTGCCTGGGTCTCTTCACCACCTCCTCAGCCAGCCAGGCTCTAGGACAAGGCCAACCCTGGCCATCCTCCGCAGTCTTCAGACCTGGCCAGATCTGGGGTAACAGGTCACTTTAACCAGAATTCTCAGGTCAATGGGGTGAGGAGGCAACACACTGCCCTGAACCCTCTCCCCAGGTGTAAGGAGGATGTCTTGTGTCAGTACGACCTGCCCGCCAGGGTCTAAGGTCATGGGAAGTGAGTGTGGCCTGCCCTGAGTAGATGACCTCCCTGTCACCTTTAAACCTAACACCCAACCTAACAGCTCAGATGTAGCCCTTTCCCACAGGCCCCCAACTGGCCAGCTGCCATTTTCTGGTCACGAAGAGGAATTGGGAAAAACAGCCTCACTTCTCAACAGCACTCTCTGTAGCCTGGTTGGAGGGCCTGGGGACAATGGAAGGAACCCCAAAGCTTCTCTGATTCTCAGCCCAGCTGAAACACGCCCTATGGGACCCAGAACGCCCAGGGCATGGGGCAGCACACATGTGACATGTGTGCTGCTTCAAGTGGGTCCCAGGCCTCAGCTTCTCCCTGCCCATCCATTTGTACTTGTGTATGGGGTGGGGGCTGGACAGAGGAGAGTCTGAGGACTTTTCTAGTTCTTCTTCTGACCTGCTCGGGCTCTTTCTTTAGTGAGGAGGCCGTCTGGGAGTCAAGGAACCACATAATTTCCGCTTTTCAAAGAGAGGAAGACGGGAACAGGCACGGGGCAGTGGGGACCCCCTTGCAAGATAAACAGAAGGAGCCTCCAGGCCCACACCGATGCCTGCTGCTGACGGGCTTCTTGTGCTCTGACACAGCTCAACCACACTCATAGAACTTCCAAGTCACAAATATGAGGGGTCTTCAAAAAGTTCATGGAAGATTTGTATAATTTTTAAATTCCATTTTCCCATGAGCTTTTAGAAGTACCCTCGTACATTTATGCCAGTGGAGTTCTATCAGCAGAGTTCCAACCAACCCTACCTTTGCCCACAAAGCCAGAGTCCTCAGTGGCTTTGGGAGCAGCTGGTCTGAATGGGCTTCCTGGCTCCTCTTGGCTCAAAATCACAGCAGAGAAGGACAGCAGGAAGGGGCACAAAACAGCGCTGCCATGCCAGGGGGCTCACTAGCCAACGGCCTGGGCTCCTGTCTCCCCACAGAGCACATCAAACTCTGCCTTGCCTTTCTCCCAGGGCTTGTGGTGAGGTGAAGGAGACTACTTAATTCACCATTTAATTTTCTGTTCGAGTTAACACTCACCTTAACCTTTCTGATTCTGAGGCATATTTGGCCAGAATCCAGGTCTGCAGGCAACCTAATATTCTACTGAGTGTAAGTTTGAGTTGAAACTGAGAGGAGGGCACTCGAAAAATGGCCAGTTCTCCAAAAGAAGCATATCTCTGCTAGGCAGCAGTGATGTAAAGGAAAAGCTGCCTTGGATGGATGGGGACGAAGCAGCAGCGGAGTCTACGCAGGATGGGGGCCTTTCTCTCCTCTCTGTTCCCAGGACAGGAGAAGGGACAGACATCTGAGCCAACCTGTGGGCCTCTGGTTCTAACACTGGCTCTAGAAAGACGCTCAGAGAAATAACTTCTAAGTCCCAGCACCGGGGCTCCATGGGCAGAGCTCAGGGCAATATCGCCATGGCGTGTACCCTATGTCAAGTAGGCACAAGAAAGAAATGGGTGGCTCTCTTCAAAGCCAAGCATAGAGCAACAGAGGGGAAGACCCAGTGAGGAAGGACAGGTTTGTGGCTCCAGATTTAGATTTGCTTTAAAGTTTCTTCCAAAGGTTATTTGCTTTCAAGTTTGTTTAAAGTTATTTTAAACTTGATCTCTTAATAAAGACATATTAAAGAGAAATCTAAGTTCATGCTTACAAAATTGGGTCGTATATAAGCCCAAAGCCATACAGCACATCCCCCAAAGCTGCGGCCTCCACCCTGGACCCTGTGATCAAGCAGGCCACTTGGAAGCCATGTGCCCACAGCACAGAGGCGGTGACCAAGGGAAAGAGCTTCATCTCAAGTGTGGAAAGTATAGAATGAGGGCCAGATAGCCCCCCTTCTCAAGTCATTTATTGCACATATAATGGGAAAATGTGTAAAGGTTCTCCTCGATTTTGGAAAATACACTCTGTCCTAGTAATCGGCCCTCACTGTGCATCCATGCAGGCTGTGGTCAGAGGGTGTCCCAAGAAGCCTGCCCTTTGCAGAGATAGCCAGCTTCTGACTGCTTCCCATGCTGCCTAAAATTGTACCCTACAAAGGAATTCCTTTGGGTCAAGAAATCTACTCACCCACCCTTTTTTTAAAAAGCGAATTCTCCAGGGAGGAAACATCTGACCATTCACAACTTACTGTGAGTCATATCAGCTCAGAAGGTTATGGGAAGTTTGACTGGAAGACAACGAAAGGGCTATATGGACCATTGAGCGCTGCCACA